GAAGAGGAAAAGATTATTATTCTAGAAAAAAGACGGAACGTCTGTCATATGATCTTCTAGAATTTTAAGAAGAATTATTAAATTATTCGATTACAGACGAGTAGAAGCTATTTTGAGTGGAACACTATGCACATCGGGCATAATTTGTGCATCGACTATCTAATTTTTGTTTCATTTTAGTATACGGTCATTTATTTTCTCTGAAATTATGGTGTGTATTTTATTTGTGGTTCTCCTCATTTTTGTAACCATTGCATCAATAGGTCGTGTATGTGTTGTAAGATCAAAATGATGCAGTTGCTAATCGTAAATGTCAATGCTGGAGTGGCAATTTATATAATCAATCTGATTCATCACAAAAGAAAAATTGTAAATGGTACAATGAATGTTTGGAAAACTGGAATTTCTATTCTAAGATTCGAGAAACTCATAATGATGATTTTCGTTATAAATATTGTAAATACTATGAACGAATCGATCACGACTTTTCACTCGCTGCTCAATAATCGATAGAAGCTGTTCGAAGATGTTTAGATAAATTACATTTATGACATAGTTTCGATTCATATACTATAAACAAACGAGGGCTCATTACAGACCATTGCTATCTTCACTTGTAGATCGGATCATTATCGTTTTTGTTATTCAGAAGTGCTTGAATCACGAACGAAAGGCTTTAAATTATTTCGGACTGCTGATTATGAAGATTCAAGAAACAGACAACAACCGTGGTTGGTACAGGCATCGTACCCTTTTTTTTTATTTTATTTATTGTAGACGTTAATGCGTTCAATAATGACTTGCATTTTTCGCTTAACAGAAATCCACGATATCTCAACGACAATGTTGATAAGTTGAAAAATCTGATTCAATCCTTTCAATTAAAATTGCCTATTGCGGAATGCTACACATATTTAATACAACAGTACTGTTATTATATTAGGTATATGTCGCTTTGTTACGACTTAGCCTGCATGAAGATTTTAGATACGATAACAGTTCCACCAAAAATTTCGTCATTGAAGATGAAGATCCTATTCAAGAATTTTGTACAAAAATTGTAACAAATAGGACAAACGGTAGTGGCTTTTGTGGTATCACTAGCAGCTGGTTCTTCCAATGATGGTGGATAAACAGTTTATGTAAGAGTTATTACGCAGTTCATAAAATGAACCGGAAAGATATAGATAGTTGAATGTCAGTCAGTGAATCAGTGTCAAAAAGTGAGTAGGCATGAGTGCTAGTGATTGAGTGAGTTTGTGCTTTCGAGACATCCTGGACGAAACCCACACCCTAGTTTTTATATAGGAAAAAGAAGTATTCATTCACTTAATCCAATCAAGATAATAAGCTGTATAAAACATTTCTAAATAATTGGATTTCATTGATAAACATTGTTACTTTTTTGTTGATAGCAGATTACTGTATCCAACAGTCGAATTATAAATGAATTTAAAAAGATACTGTTGGACAATTTTGACCTGAAGATGTTTGTTATGGTACCAAAATGTTTTTTCGATCGGATAAGAAATATCGTAGAAGAATCGCTTCTTTTGTCTTTCCTGTCAAGACATCTTAACCCTTTTTTGGGACGGACATTTTTTTTTTCATAAAAAATGAAATTGTGATTCCAAAATGAATTATATTTTGAAAGCTATTAATGATCATAATTATTGCCCTTAGATATCATTTAAAAGACGCAACTGACTTATTTTGAAATGAGAAAAATACGTGAAAGAAAAAAGAACTAAATATTTATCAAGGGATGAAATTCCTCAAAGCAACCAACTACGCAAAGATCCACATCATAATCTCTGCACATATAACGTGGATCTGTTCTCTTTTTAGGTCGTCCATTAGTATGTGCACCAATAACACATTATTTCTGAGGGATTTTTCTTTCCGTTGTTTAAAGTATAAGAGAAGGAAAGTATCTAGCAGTGAGTCGAGTTGGTTTATAGACGTGTGCAGAGCGCCCAATTCTAAGTTTTGGAATATGATAGTATTGTAAGATTTCACGTATAAGTTTCAAACGACAGTCTACTAATTCAGATCTCTTTCTAGTTTTCATGTTGTAAAACAAATAAGAATTGAGAGCTATTAAATCAAGCATATTGAAAAAGAGGTTTCTGTACCATTTGACAGATTCGATTATACATTCAGCAAAACTAATTTGCATACAAACTTTGTCTATTGCTCCTCTTTTAGAATTATAGTCAATTGTTGGAATTAGCTTTCAAATTGGTTGTTTAGTTTTTGAATTATTTTTTGCAGTGAAACCCGTTTGAGAGTGATGGATAGAGGATAGCATTCTAACTTCCTTTAACATACCGTTTCAGTATTAGCATGTTATTTATAATTTTTAAAAATTTTTGACCTCTCTGAATTTTATTTCCAAACGTAGGTAAATCAACTCTATCTACTCCAAATAGGATCATATACACCGGTTGATTTTGCGTGTAACTTTTCAAAAAGTGTAGAAATTGCTAACCTACTATCTAGAATTAAATTATGACCTTTCTTTAAGTAAGATTGCATTAAAGTCATAAAAATTGAACCAAAAATCTTAATATCTGGAAATCTTCTTATGTCAGTAGTGACTTCTGTATAAATAATGAAGTCTAAAGTTATTCCAGTGCAGACATCACATATAATGTACATTTTTATCCCGAATCTACTCCTTTTAGATGGAAGGTATTGTTTGAAAGAAAGTCGACCTTTGTACAACATCAAGCCTTCATCAATACATAAATCTTAAAAAGAAACCAAAATTTTTCTGAATCTTTGACAAATAATTAATTACTAGCTTGATTTTATATAGTTTATCATCAGATAGTTGGTATTCGTTAGCATTGAAATGTAGAGATAAAAGAAATCTGTCCCTACTAATGATATCTGCAAACATAGGTGTATAGAAATCAAAGGGTCAGTAGACTATTAGTCTTTCATTAGACTTTCTTTTTAATGAGCCATTAGTATATAAAGTACAAAAAATGTATACATTTCGAGTACAGTAGCACTAATTGTTTCTTAGTATCGTTCAGACACATTTTCATATTCCAATTGTATAGAAACGATACTTGTCTGTTTCCCGACAACTTTTTTGCATCAGACTTTAATCAAATATCAAATAAAAATAATCTAGTGGTCTTTTTTTAGTACATATGAATTGATACCAGATTCACTTGAGTCAAATATAAATATTTTTAATTCGAACCATTCCACTATTCGATTCATTATTAAAGTCGCAAATAGAATCAGTATCTAATTCATCATCTAATTCAGAATTCGAAAAATATTCAGTAACATCTGAGTCAGTTGTACTACGGGATGCCATAATAATCAAGAAAAGTTTCGACATATGAAAACGAGTAATAATGATGTAAAAAGTTGGTTAGTCTCAACAATTGTTGCTATCGTATCTTCTTTAGTACGACCTCATCGAAAGATACCGCCTTAGCACTTACAGAATATCATTAGTGAACTTCATCAACTTATCGCTATACACTATAGATGGAAATACTAAGTAATCCATTCACTAATCTATTCAAATTTTGAGCCTGTCTATAGATGGACTTTGACCTTGAAGGGTTAAGAACCAACACCATAGTTAGCAAGTAGTCAGATGTATTTCTTGAAATCAAAAAAAGATCTTTGTTGAATGAATTAATTACAAATTTCGTTCGTTAAACTATAAAAAGCTGTCACTTATTTCAAGTTAACTAAAAAAGTTCACTGAAAGAGAATTGGATCTCTTTTTTATGGGTATTTATAAAATACGCTCTAATCCACTTCAACCGTCGTTTAACTCGAAGTTAATATCAATCGATAGAGCTTAGAATTCTTCACTCAGAAAACTCCACTCTAAGCCAATACTTTGCGAGAAAATGAATAACTAATAATAATAAACAACTTTGTGATTTATTTTAGTCCTATCTACCTTGACATCACTTTTCCCATTGTTACAGGTCAAAGATCAATTGTCAAGGGTCACACTTGATGGTAAAATTTAGCGTTAAATTTATACGCCCAATATCAGATTTTTGAAGTAACGGTGCGTAGGTTCAACAGTCTACGAAAAAGACTAGTCGAGTTTGTTAGAAAAACCTGACATTGGACGTATAAATTTAGCGCTAAATTTTACCATCAAGTGTGACCCTTGACAATTGATCTTTGACCTGTAACAATGGGAAAAGTGATGTCAAGGTAGATAGGGCTAAAATAAATCACATAGTTGTTTATTATTATGAGTTATTCATTTTCTTGCAAAGTATTGGCTTAGAGTGGGTTGGAGTGGATCCATAAAAATGATATTTGATGCTTTTATCAATAGATTGTTTAAAGAAAATGGCTAAGAGTGGAGTCTTCTGAGTGAAGAATTCTAAGCTCTATCGATTGATATTAACTTCGAGTTAAACGGCGGTTGAAGTGGATTAGAGCGTATTTTACAAATACCCGCTTTTTATTGATTGTTAAAGATCTGATGTGAAAAGAAAATAGTTGATAATATCACTTAAGTACTTTGAACTATGTTCACCCGTCACTATACATGTGCATATCATTCGGCACTAGATTTTTATTGAAAATCTTTTCGAACGTTATCAATCCTTACCATTTGTTGACTTTTATCGTATTTTAGATACTTCACGATAGTAGACATGACACTAAGTGTACGCGAATATCTATCAATGGATGTCAATGTAGGGATAGGTGTTCTCAATACCTACCCCTACTTACACTCGAGACCATTTTAATGCGTTGAAATGTAAACATAGCGTTCTTTCTCTTAAAATTGGTCTTGAACTGACAATTTGTTAAAAATTCTCTCTCATGAACATGTTGCTGTGTCAACTGATGGTTCATAAAGCATTTACTAAATGACTGCAGTACTACGCAGCAAAAAAACGATATTTTAAGAATTTTTTTATAATGCAGCTGAACCGCTTTTACTCATTCCAATGTATTTTCTATATCAATATTTTTTCAGATTATTGTCAATTATGTTAAAAACAATTCGAAAAACAAGACTCATGTATTCAATATTTTGTTTTCTATCATTTTTTTGTTTCACAATTCTAACTATTATTAGCTGGAAATATTTAATTCTACAAAATGAAAACATAAAATTGCTAATTTCAAATGTTGTAAATGTTGCGAAAAATCAAATTAATATACTATACTACTCAAGCTTTAGTAATAACAAAACAAAATCGATTTCTTCAACATCAATAAAGACTTTACTATTACAAATTAATAAACATACTTTGAATTTTACAGATTCAAAATTTAATAATCATAATACGACATTAGAAACAACTATTCAATGTGTTGGCTCATTAAATAATCGATCTTGTTTGTACCATAATTTATATTATGTCGATGGTTCATTTATGGTTTTAGCAGTAAAAGGAAAACGTTTGCCTTTATATTCTGTACGGACAGATGCCTTTGTACGAACGCCTACAACACCTAGAAAACTTGTTTTTGATTCATACTCTCATCTTGAAAAATTTATTCGTATTTCTATTCGTCCAAGGATATTTTCATCAGTCACTCTTTATTTTAGTCAACTTTGGCATTATAATATTGGTCATGCCATTTTTGATGGACTTTATCCAGCATATGTTGCACTTATTCGTTTTTCTCCAAAACATCTTCATCCTTTTCGAATACTCGCTGGATTAAATGACTGCAATAATTGTTGGAGTGAAGATGTTTATAGCCGTTTTGGTGGTCTTGAAATTCTTAAGCGAAGTGTTCTAAATAAAATGCCAAGAGAAAAATGGTTTATGTTTGAAGAACTTGTTATGGGCAGTGGAACTTTGTGTCAACGTTGTACACAACCTAATTTACAATTACCTGGTGGCGTTGAATTAGATGCGTCAAGACTTTTTCGTGATAGAATGTATCAACAACATGGTCTTGTTCAACCCATTGTTCGACAAAATTCGTCATCTGAAAAACGAACATCTCATGATGTTCTTCATGCATATATTATTCATAATAAACGTTTTACACGTAATGATCGAAAAGAAATTGATGCTGCTATAAATGAAATAAATAATTACACGAATTCATATTTGAATAAAACAGCTAAATTACAATGGGCATTAGTTCAGGTTTCTTATCTCTTCTATGATCAAGTGAGAGCTCAAAACTGTAGTTCCATTGAAATAAATGCAACAGCAAGTGGTTCTCGATCATCAACGCATGAATTATTTGAAAATAAATTCATAGCGCAATTAAAAATTTTGCGTCAAATGGATATTCATATCACCGGACCAGGTACTGGACAAATGTATCAAACATTTTTATCAGATGGATCTGTAACTATCAATCTTGGAGGTATAAGACCACCAGGATTAGAAAATACAGAAAAAGCATATACTTCATATTTGGAACAATATATGACAAGTGGGACACCTTATATTAAAGGTCTTTATTATCCAATTAATGAAAGAACTAAAGGTATTAAAAAAGATGAAGTAATTAAATTAATTCGACAAGCATCACAGCTTATTTTACAAGGTTTTTCATTACCAGTTAATGCTCGAGACAATCTAGCGCCTGATGGAAAATTATTTGTTGAACTGTGTGAAAAAGATAAAAAATTTTGTTCTTTAGTTACGACAAGAGTACCGAATACAGATTTTGATTGTATACATTTATGGGCAGAAGATATTATACATGAACATCGTCAATGGCAATTAGAAGGCTTTATTATTAATCGCCGAAAAGTTATTTGTCCTTTTAATCATTCATTACTACATCAACTAAGAGAAAAATATGGAATTAAACACAACCAGTCCAACCATTGATCAAAACATGTTACACAAAACTAGGTTGATTGCTTGAAATAGAATAGATTTTTATTATAAAATAAACTATGATTAGTTTCTTATGTATAAAATGGAAATTTGAACATGCTGTAAATGACAACTTTGTGCAAACGATAGAAAAAAATTTATTTTGCTATAACGAATGAATTATTTCAAGTAATTTGAAACCTTCCATTGATATATCAGTATGCATGGTCACTATTAATATTTAAATAAAGAACTGAGTTTTGAACACATTGCAACCGTTTCAAATAGAAAACATAGTAACACAAAATAAATTTAATTATTCGATGATTTTGTTTGTCATTGAAATGATTGATACCATATTTTGTAAATTTTCACGTTTCGATCATAATAAAGATCCATCCGTTAGATTAAATACTGTCATAATTATTATCAACTTTTTTATCTTTCTAACTCAGTTTTCTTCAACTAGAAACTCCAACACATCATTTGTTGCATATGTTTGCATACACCGTTAAAATTTTGGAGGTATTCATATTTCTCTCGATATGTTTTCAAAAGGTTTGTTTGATTACATTGCGCAGTATTTTATACTGGTTCAGTGGAACACCTTCAAATGTGGTGAGGACAAGGGGAAGGAGCGAAAATGTAGCACTTCCTCGTATTTCCTGTACTTTCAGACTATGTCCTAATAGTGCATAAAATTTCTTTAGCTATTTCAAGTCCACTATTGATCTGTGTTACGATATATTAACCAGAGTCCAGTCTACATAAGTGTATTTGAGCTTTAGGATAAGGTTGTCTTTAGTAAGTTGGACTCCGATTAATTAATACACCGTAGCATAGGTCAATAGTAAACTTGAAATATCTAAAGAGATTTGATGCACATGTCCGACACAGTCTAGAAGTACGAGGAAGTACAGCATTTTTGCTTCTTCTCCCTTAGATG